AATAGTAATTGTTTATTGGACTAATAACTGGTTCCTCCTTGTCAATTGGTTCTCTGCCTATTATAGCCTCTAGAGAGGCCTTTCCTAATCACTCTATTTGAAAATCCAAAGTTCCTACTTTCTATCCCTGAACTTTCCCATATTACCTTTATAACCCTCCAAAATCTGTAATTATCTTGCCTACTTACCTATTTACTGTCTGACTTCCCACTAGAAGGCAAGTCCTCCCAAGGAAAAGGGCCTATCTTTACTTGTTCACTATTACAATACATTCCCAGCATGTAGAGAGGGCCTGATACACAAGTGCTCAAAAAATGTTTAATGAATGAATCATTCCATGAATGACAGAAGATAAGTTAACCTCAAGTGTACTTACTAATATTTTCTTTGCAATAGGAAAATTAGTTGCCACATATATATTTAAAAAGCAAACAAACATGAGATAGTAGTAGTAGATAAAAGCATAGGATCTATAATCAAAATGACCTAGGATTGCATTTTGGCTCATCAGTACATGACCTTAAGCAAATTACTTAATCTAAGCATTCAGTTTTCTCATCTGTAAAACAGGCTAACGTTGCATATTTAACAAAATGGTCACTAGGGAAAGCTATATAATCAACATAATTTTTGAAATAAAGATAGCAAGTATTATGCTATTATAAAAATGCTAGTATAGGAAATAAATGTTTAATTAGAGTCTTATGCTAAACAGGAAAGTCACTACAAGAGGTAAAACAAGTAAGCATGAAAGAAGAAAATGATCAAATAATTTTATAATATCTAGTAACCTTTATAAGTAAAATGAGTGACCTTTTGATTCTATATCATGCATACTAAAATGGCATTTTGAATAATGGGTCAACATTTTAAATGGAGGTCAGTAATCAAATGAATTTCCTTCATTTAATTTGGGTTAGTGGTTGTCTTGGGATGCCAGTAATAGCAGTTTTTCTGGTCTAGAAAGAATCTGTTCTGTTTCTAAACAATTTTTAAATTATGCTTTTGAGATCACTCAGCTGATCCCAAGAGTGAAGTTATTGTCCCCTACCCTGAGCCTAAACTTATATCTCAAGTTCAGAGTTCACTTGAAGCCTTAACTTGATTACTCTACATATAATACAATGACTGCATATACACTGCTTTATTAAACAAACACTCTGAGAATGATAATGATAAAAAGGGGGGGGGGGCCACAGGGAGGCAGGTAAGAGAAAGAAAAAAGGGGGGAGGGGCACTTTAAAACCAGTAGTTTCAAAAGACGGAAAAATTCTAATGGGAAAAAATTTTCATATACCGTATGCTTAAAAAGAATTTAGAATAGCTCAGCTGATATGGCTCAGTGGTTGAGTGTTGACCTATGAGTCAGGTCACGGTTCAATACCCAGTCAGGGCACATGCTTGAGTTGCAGGCACCATTCCTAGTAGCCGGCATGCAGGAGATTCTCTTTCATCATTGATGATTCTCTCTCCCTCTCCCTTCCCTCTCTGAAATCAATAAAAAATGTTTTGTTTTGTTTTTTAAAGTAGTAATAAATGGGAAACAAGTATTGTTTTTTATATATTTGCTTAACTCTTCAGCTTCATCCCTGGCTTTGACTTTCACACCACCCTAGGCCCAAAGCTTTATATCTAGTACCACTGCAGGATTTGGTTTGAATTAGCTTCCTCAAGAAGCCTTCCCTGATATTTCAAGGCCTGGGTTACATATTCCTCCTATAAAATTTCATAGTGCATCTTCCTAATATGACATTTATCACACTGTATTAATATCTTTCTGTTTATTTTTTTTCCATTTTGATCTTTCCTAGAAGTTAGTGGCTAAATAGCAATTATTAAAGGATATGTTGTGTGATGACATGTCTGAGTTTTAAATCTTTTACTATGGCTCCCAGAAGTTTCAGAAAATGTCAGTCTCTGGTTCAGAAAAATTTCGAAAGAATATTGAAAAGAAAAACAAAAATATGTATAATATAAATGTTTTATTACATACTTTGTTTTCCAGAATATCAACTCTATTTTCGCTAATGGATGTAAACCAGTAAGTAAATCTGTCTGTTTACAAATTGTATTTATAGAAAATGAGTTTCACCCTCTCACTAAATATATACTGAAGTATATATTTAAAGACAGCCTGAAATTCTTAGCCTACCCACAATTCTCAGTCTTGACCCTGATCCCAGCACACAGCACTAACGCACAGCAGGCCTGAAATAAATAGTTTGTTAAATGAATGAACACCCCAAAAAAATTTTAAAGCATGTGACTGATATCTTCTTATATTAATTTCATTACCTGCATACTCATAAAACCAAGCCAGGCACTTCTTGCTTGAAAAATGTTCCTCTCCACTTATTAGTCTAGCAGGGGGTTGGGATCTGCAATAGCTTAGAAAACACACAAATGCCTAAGAATTTTATAGTCTCAACTTGTAGTGAAAAGCTAAGTTCAATACCAACTATGTCAATTCAAACTATCAATAAATAAAGTATATTTTTTTACAGCTAGTGTAATGGGGAAAAAATAGAGTTAAGTATTTGCAATTTGATATAGTAGTCTATACATAAAAATGTATGGCTAACAAAACCCAAATGCTACTTTGCTCACTATTAAATTCCAAAAATATCAACAAAAACTAATTCCCCAGATTTCAAGACCACAGAAGTTCAATCTAATGGTCTCAATGCAGGACTAGTAGTTGGAAAGTATTAATCTTTATAATGATTCTTCTGAATTGCATGGAAACCATATTTTTGTATAATGGTTATACATTTGAAAACAAAACCTTACAAAGTATATTTTGATAATTAATTTGTCAATATTTCAAAATAAAACTATATATTTAGAGTTGCTTATCATCTAGCAAGTGATGTAGATATTTAAAGATAAAAGACGATTTAGGACCTAAGGATATAATTAAATTCTACACATTAAATTCTACACAAAAAAAAACCCATAAGGATAACATTAATACAAATAATTGGGCCAAAGCTATTTAATCTTATTTTTTTCTTTTTCCATAAAGTCATTTAAGGTTAGTAAGTTCATAAGTGGCCTCTAGGATATAATGAATTTCAGAGAACCTTTTCTTGAGGAGGTCAAATAGTTACACTACCACAATGACACAGAAATGCTATAATTTCTGCAACTGACTAATGTAAAATAGGGTACCATATTTAAAAGTTTAAGTTGATAGAGCAAAGTATCACTTGAGTTATAATGGCTGCTTAGCTTTTTTACATAATTACTTTAAATCATTTTGATACACTATATACTTAAGATACCTACAAGTTAAGAGTAATACAGAACTATTAGTAATTTGCATGTTCTGTAAAAATTGGCTAGTGGAGTAACCATGTCAAATTTTAGTATGAGTTACCAAGAAGGTATTAAAAAAAAACGTCATCTTTCACAGAAATAGCCCAAGAAATATACTTAGGCTCTGTTTTCCCAGCTTAATGAAGGAAAAAAACCGAACCAATCAGAAAAAGGTGCGGACTAAATAAGTTACCTACCTCATATTTTAAGCATAACTAAGGAGAATTCTATTATCGTTATCATCTCTCGCCTTTATAATGCTGGCTACAATCTTCTTTTAATGACAGCACCTGAAGTTGTCACATCAAGTGCCAACCACAGGTACAATCAGACACTCCATAAGAATTAAAAACCCCACTCCTCACACCTAAATGGCAATCATCTTCTGCATTATATAATGTTGCGGGGATGCCTCGATGACTATGTTACAATGGGATCAAAGAGCTACCACTTAACAGCTCTGCTTTGTTTTCCTTTTCCTTCAAGAGCATAGAGCACAATAGCTCTCAATTATTAATATTTATATTGGGAGCGAACAGCATCCTGGATGCCGGAAAACAAAACGCACGCAGGGGCTTCCCCATTTGGCACGCAGGGGGATTGGCGCAGGTGGAGGCACTGTACTTCCGGAAAGGGGGCTTCTGCTGTTACACAGCCTCCTGCTGGGGTCCTCCGGGTTAGCCCGCTACATCTGGAGGCCAACTGCAACGGTGGGGGGGAGGGGGGGGGAGGTCCCTTCCTATCATTCCCATGGCAGTTGGCAGGTCGAGATTTTTCCTGTTTTGCTCCTTTCTTCACTCTACAAAGAAATTCGAGACGTGACCCGCGGCGGATCAGTTTGGAGAGAAGGCGGAGGAGGGGTAAGACCGCGGGGGAGAGAGAAAGAGCGCAGTGTTACGTGCGCGCTCGTTTCCCACCCTCCGGGGCACGCAGGCTGCCGCGGGCCCGCTCCGCCGGTCCCGGAGCTCCCGCACCGGACACGAGGGGGTCCGGCGCAGGCTCGCGGCGATCGGCGCCCACCACGAAGATTTATCGGGGTTGGGGGGTGGGGAGGGAGGCCTCTGCCCAGCTCCAGCCGGGGAGACCCGACCCGCCTCCTTCTCCCCGGGCCGTCCAGCGTCCAGCCTGGGAGGGAAGGCTGAAGGGTGGGGAGGGGAGGTGGTACCTGGAGATTTTACACTTTTTGAGGCCTCCGTCTTCCGCTACTGCCGCTGCCACGCCGGGGGATTTTCTCTTCTTCTTCACCGGCATCTTCCGCCCTCCCCGGCAGGGCGGCCAGGGGAGCCGGGGGAGGGGGTCGCGGTCCGCCGCGGGCTCCTCGGCGCCGGCCCCCGGGTCCCAGAGACAGCAGCAGCAGGCGTAGTAGCAGAGTCTCCAGCCCGCGCCGCCGCCTCCCAGCCCGGCCGCGGGCCGCCCCCACGCCCCCTCCCGGGCTTCCTCCGCCCGGGGCAGCGGGTCCCTTCGCGCCGGTGGGCAATGCGGCTCGGCCACTCCGGGGAGGGAGAGCGCCGACTGCGCGGCACGGCCACCAGTCACAGACTCCGGGAGCAGGAGGCTCAGCCTGACCCGGATGCGCCTCGCCGGTGGCCGGAAGTGACGCAACGCAGAGCTGGCCGCCGGGAGGGGAGGGGAGGGGCGGGGCTCCGGCTGCAAGGCCTTGCAGCTGCTCTGGCTGAATGACGCCCAGCACCGGCCCTGGGGAGAGGTCCGGATCTGGGGGCCCTTGGACCGCCTTGGTGGTCCAGGGACTTCCATCTCCCCTAATGCTGGTAAGTCACCTCCAAGAAATGTTTTATGAAGCCACTGGTGCTTTGGCCTTAAGTTAAAAATAACTTGGTAAAGGAAACCAAACTTCACTTCTGAGCTCTTCCATTCGGTAACCTCACGTTCATTGTTACTTCTGAAATGCACATTTTCTTTTGGGGCGGGCTGGCCATCAGCCGCCCATTCTCAGACCCCTTCCTTGTCCCTCACCTCTTTGCCTTGTTAAAACTTAGCTTTACCATTTCTCACCTGTCAGGTAAGAAACAGTAGGCAGTCGCTGACCTAGCAAAGAGGAATTTGGGGAGCATTTCTAAGGGGCCTTCCTTCAAACTTTTACTCCAAACACTTGTAATGACTCCACCTTCACTTCAGAGAAAATATTGCTTATAAATAAAGGTTGTTGCATATAAAGATTACATAGTGGAAAGTCGTTTTAGTCAATATATATGTAGAATAAGTTAACATCTGTAAAGCAAAGTGAGATTATAGAGAAAGTGTTTTTAAATTCAGTAACAGCCCATGTGGTCCTAGTGAGATGACTTCCATCTGAACACTCTCATTTGGACAATAAGAATATCCTGATTCCTTGGTGCCATTAATTGGTTCAGAAGGACACATGATCCAAACCAGGCCGGTCAGCACCAATGACATGAAACTGAACCATCAGGAATCAATTTATTTCCTATGGACTTGAACCTGAGAGGATGTAAGAATAAGCCAAAACTCAGAAAAGACCAGAATCAAGTAGAAAAACAAAAGAACTAAAACAAATGATTTTATGATACAGGGCCTGAGTCCATGATATGCCCTGAAAATATCAGTTACAGGAGCCATTAAAACTCACCGTCTTGCTTATGCAGTTCTGATACTTACAACTAAAAGAAGGTTGTTCCGAATGCTACTGTAATTCTTCAACTCAATTAAAAATGCATGAGACCAAAACTTCAAATCTGAATAAAATTGTTTCTAAAACAAAAAATAAAAAAATACCATCTGTACGTAGGGATAGTGGAACATGTTAACACTCAATGCAATCAGCAAGATCTAGCCTGTCAAATTCTACAAGAAAAATGGCCCAGATTCTGCAACAGGGTATTAGAGAAGGAAATTTTCAAGGATAATTAATCATTTTCCATATTTGAATATTGAGTTAAAATTTTTTTTAATAGTATGACATTTATAGGACAATTGGAAATTTGAAAACTAGCTGAATATTTGATGAAGTTCTAGACCAAGCAAAACTTACCTATGGGGCAGTATAGCAGCAATGCTTGGGGACTGGGATAGTGTAGTGATAGAGGGAAAAGACTGACTGTAAAGAGGCAAAGGGAACTATATTGGTTAATAGACATTCTGTGTCTTGTTGAGGTAGTGGTATATATATATATATATATATATATATATATATATATACACACACACTTGTCAAAGTTCATTGAACTGTACAATTAAAATATATGCCCTTATTATATGAATATTATTCCTCAATAAGTTGATATAAAAAGTGCAAGTAGCCCAACCAGTGTGGCTCAGTGGCTGAGTGTTGACCCAGGAACCAAGAGGTCACATGTTCAATTCCCAGTCAGGGCATATGCCCACTTGTGGGCTCAATCCCCAGTAGGGGGTGTGCAGTAAGCAGCTGATTGATGATTCGCTCTTATCAATGTTTCTATCTTCAAATTTCCAACCCTCCTATATAATAAAACCCTAATATGCAAATTGACCAAATGGCAGAATGACTGGTCGCTATGATGCACACTGACCACCAAGGGGCAGGTGCTCAACACAGGTTCTGTTTGGGGGCAGCTCATGCATTGAGCTTCTGCCTGTGCCTCCTCCCTCGCCCCCACCCAGAGGGTGGCAACCAGCGGTGGCGGGGGATGGGGCCAGCTAGGGGGCAGGGCCACCTAGCTGGCAGTACCAGACCACCAGCCAAGGTGGGTGTCAGTCTCCCCCCCCCTCGCCCACATCACCCTGCCTGCCGCCTGCCTGTTGCCCCACAGATCAGCCCTGATTATGGGCCAGGCCTAGGGACCCTACCCTATATATTGGGAACAGTATCTTAGATTTCAAAATTAAACCTGGCAAGGCTACTCTAACACCAAAAAAACAGGATGATGCAGTGATAACATGCATGGACTCTGGCTTGAACATTTTTGTGGTCAGTCCTGATTCTGACGCTTATATCTATGACAAAGCCAATTACTGAACTTCTCTCTGCTTCCGTTTTTCCACCCATAAGATAGGGAAAATGCTACTACTGCCTCAGAAGCATCATGTTATGTACTACTTTTTATAATCAGGGCAAAAAAATGTAGCCGCCCACACAACAGCAAGCTGCCTTTCACCTGTATGAAAAGTATGGTTACTGGTTCATGCAGCGTCCTGGATTGCAAGAGGGATGGCCAACTGTCAGTTGTTGGATACCCCCCTAGAGGTCCAGGATTGCAAGAGAGCACAGGCCGGACTCAGGGACACCCCCACCCCCACCCCCACCCTGTGCAAGAATTTTGTGCATCAGGCCTAGAGTTGTCCTATAAATGGCATAATATTCAATGTTCCTCTCCCTTTAAAATTCAATAAAAATATTTTTTAAAGAACAAAAATACACCAAATACACTATTAGACATTAACAAAGCTTATTTCAAGAAGTGAGCTATAAAAACTAAATAATCCCTTTTCACGAATAGAAAAAGAAGTGGAATAAAAATCTAAATGATGAAGACAAAGACCTAAGAGGACAATGTTCAAGAGATATCCTTCCAGAGAGCAAAATTAAGGTTGAATCGGGGGGGTAAGGAACCTTTATAAAGCCTATCTAGCAGGATACCAGTATTGCTATGACCAGTGACTATGTATATCCTCCGTTCTTTTCTCAATAGGAATATTTATTATGATTATTGTGTCCCTTCTCCACTGTTATTATATTAGAGTGGAGAGGCCACTTCTAGATTAGAAAGAACCACTGCTAGACTAGGAAGAAGACCCAACCACACCTGGAGACTCTAAAGATTTAACTGAATGACTGGATCAGAGCCTACAGAATCTATAGAATTCTCTAGAAAAAAGGTAAAATACTGGTTCTATCTGGTATTTACTCTTTCAGTCTATTATTCAAACAGTATTTAATGATCACTTAAAATTAGGAACAGTTATTTGGTTGAGGGATATAAAAGATAGGTATGACTCTTGCATTCATAAAGTTTACCGTCTGGAGAGGGAAGTATATGCAGCCCATATGCATTTGAGAACAAAGAATAGGGTCAAAAACCTATGCTTGTCAATGATTATAAAGGGATGGTGTTTTCAGTCATATAATTTTCTTTATTGATCTCTCTGATCAATACCTGCTGTCACCACCACACCTTCATTCTCAAAATGTAGCATACCATTACCCTAATTATGCTCACCGAAGGGGCCTACTGACAGCATCACTGCCTGTGATAGAAATGCTTGGTTATGTGGTTTTAATCTTATCTGGTGCTCATCAGCACACAAATAGGATATTATTTTCCACCAAGAAGGCACCTATAAATGGGGAAAGAAACTATGACAATACTGTAGTTCTTTGTTGTGTAGAATTTTTTAATGAAAGTAATGAGAGGGAGGGATGAAGCATTTACTTTAAGCAGAAACTCAAGTGTTCTGGTTTCATATCCAAAGAAGGTACTCTGTTTTAATGTAAGATACATAACTTCTTTTATCCATCGTTTTATCATACAAGAAGGATGTGAAAAAAACAAATATCCATCTATAAGGGCAGTGGACATATATTTATGCCAGTCAGGACAGGAGGTGGGACTGAACATAGTTTTGTCATCTATTTGATATGTTGGTTATTACTTAGCTTTTGGGGAAGGGGGTTGTCGAATGAAGTTATAAAAAAGATCTTTTAAAGTAGTTGCATCTGTATCAAAGCAATCAAATATAGTGCCCTAAAATTTATTAATTTATATATTCTATACATAGTTTGTATTTTCTTAATGCCTCTTTAAAATATGACATTTCCACTTGCCAGAAAAACAGGCAACACAGAATTTCAATGATTTATGGAATGCCATGTTATATGGTCCTGAATTTATACAAATGCTTTCCATATATTAACACTGATTTTCAAAAGAACCCTGGTGAAAACTTTGTAAAATATTCCCATATACATAAACCCTGAAAATGAAGAGTGAGAGAACAGTAGAAATGGGATGTTTTGGAGCATTAGTCAAGTCCACAGGAATTCCTACTGTTTTAGAGAAGCACAGCAGTGCACACTATGTAGCATACGCACGTGCCCCTTACATTTACTGCAGCCTGACTGACTGTAGTTCACACTGGGACCCAGACTGAGGGAGTGGCTACTCTCTGGAACATGGCTTGTTATTGTGATGAAGGACAAGGAAAACATGGTGAACCCCATGCTGGCTGTTAAAGGTTCTGTTCTGAAATGACACATTTCAGTTCTACATCCAATCAAGAGAGGAATGTATAATCCTTTTGCAGAGACAGACACCAAATAAAGACAAATACAGTCCACAATGGTATGGGATTGGAATGCAATTTTATTGAAGATCCAGGGAAGAATGAGTTCACAGAGCAGTTTTAAAGGGAAGTAGGGAAAATTATAAGATTGGTGTCTGCTTATACTTCACATTGACACATTGTATTTTCCAAAGATGGTCACAATGATCTTTCAATTCACTTTTTCTTCTAGAACTTTACCACTCCCTCAATAAAAGGAGTCTTATTAACAATAGTCATCATCATCCTTTATCATCTATGTTGGTTCATGAATTGTGAGTACTGTACCATACGTATGTAAGATGTTAATAGGGGAAGCTGGGTGTGAAATATATGGTAACTTTGTGTATTATCATTGCAACTTTTCTGTAAACCTAAAAGTATTCTAAAATAGTTTATTTTTAAAAAGTCAAAGTGAACAGAAAAAAAAAAAAAGTAGTAGAGTGCAGGAAGAAAGAGTAGTAACGCAAGAAAGCCACCTCTGTTGGGTGCCTTTGGAAAGATCAGAAGTCATAAAATTCTGGATGTGGGATCATAGATAGGAAGCATTGTCTTGTACATTAAGTGCCCAACAACAAAGCTGAACCCTTACCAAAAGGACTAAGAATTACTGCTAGACACCTGATTTTCCTTGCAGCATATGAACATATACCCCAAACAACAAAAAGTATTTCACAGAATCAAATTACTACTGGTAGAGTGCAGTGTATTGATGACTTGCTGCAGAGGAAAATTGTTTTTAGATGAGTAGGACCAAGTGAGTGCAGTTTGTATTTAGGTGTTTTTGGTGGTGGTTTTTTTTTTTTTGTCTTAATATATTTTTATTCACTTCAAAGAGAAAGGAAGAGGAAGAGAGAGAGAGAAACATCAATGATGAGAGGGGAATCATTGGCTGACCCCTGTACGCACCCCCTGGGGATTGAGCCCACAACTCAGGCATGTGCCCTTGACCGGAATCGAACCTGGTACCCTTCAGTCCGCAGGCTGATGCTCTATCCACAGAGCCAAACCGACTAGGACAGGTATGTTGTTTTAAGAATTTTCATAGTCTTAGACTTAGATGGGTATTGTTTTTGTCACACTTTGCAAATAATATTGGAAAGATGACATTGTGGAAAAGGTTTCTTAAAGCGAAAACTTTAAGATTGATGGATTTACCTTTTAAAGTTTTGCAACCTTGCCGAAACCAGTTTGGCTCAGTGGTAGAGCGTCGGTCTGTGGACTGAAAAGTCCCAGGTTCGATTCTGGTCAGGGGCATGCACGTTGGTTACGGCACATCCCCGGTAGGGGGTGTGCAAGAAGCAGCTGGTCGGTGTTTCTCTCTCATGGACATTTCTAGCTCTCTAGCTCTCTCCCTTCCTCTCTGTAAAAAATAAATAAAAATATATTTTAAAAAAACAACAAAACTTAAAAAAATAAATAAAAATAAAAACAACACCCCCCCCCCCGGAATATATAATAAAGAGTAATTTGGAAAACAAGAAAAATAAACATGCTTATTAAAGTTTTGCAACCTTGAATAAAACATGTCTTACCTTCTGTATAATGTAATAAAATATATGCCTTAGCTAGACATCACAGTACTGTATAGTTGAAAAAATAGTAAATGTGAATGCGTTATCAAAACTAACTGCTAAGGGGTATATAATTACGTATCAGCTGGAATCCCTGGGGTACACCCTACAAAAATCAAGTTCTTCTAGTCTAGAAAGAGTTTATATAAGGTTAGTCACAGAATCAAAGGATGGAATTGCAAAGAAGGGGACATGTAAAAGAGGTGACTTACTCCGTTTTCCATTCCCACCCAAGTTCTGGTAATGGGGCTTTCCATTCCTATCACTACTACCTTTATTAAATGTCAATGGCCCTGTCTTTGTTTCCAGGGATCTTAACCAAATGTCTATACAGGCCAGTTTGAATGAGACTCAGCAAATTCTTAGGTCATAGCTAGGCATTACTTAGAAAATCCAACGGTGACATGTGGGCAGTTACTGAAGTCACTCACTATGCAGCACAAAGCAGGTTAGTTCACCGGACTGTAGCAGAGACAATGATTCCTAGAAAGAGAGTAAATGATCTGCAAATTGTCTTATTTAGCTGCGGTCACTGAATATGGCTGTGGTCACTGGCAATAGCAACATTGGCATTTCTTAATGCTGAGTGTGCTCTTGTCCATGTGTTCTTTTGCAGATCTACTCCCGCATCTATAGCTTCACAGAGATCTCTGCCAAGTTTGAGCCCTATCCAGTTTGAACCCCTTCCTAGCCAAGATAACATTCAGTTGTTAGGGCATAAAGGTATGCTCTGTTTCTTTCAGGGCCTGTACTTTTTTTTTTAATTTTAATATGTTTTTATTGATTTCAGAGAAGAAGGGAATGGGAGATACATGGGCCCTGACCAGGGCCCAGGCCAGCGAGGAGCCTGAAACCGAGGTACGTTCCCTTCACAGGAATCTTACCCGGATCCTTTGGTCGGTAGGCCGACGCTCTGTCCACTGAGCCAAACTGGCTAGGGCAGAGCCTGTAATTTAACTTGCAAGAGCCTTCTCATCTCCAAAGAAAATGTGGCTCATGAGAATCAAACGTTTTGGCTTTCAATTGCACTTTTTAAATAACATGGGGTTTCAAAGTATAGTTTTATAGTAAACAAAACAAAAAATTAACTATTTTTCTTTCTTTTTTTTAATATATTTTATTGATTTTCACAGAGAAGAAGAGAGAGGGATAGAGAGTTAGAAACATCGATGAGAGAGAATCAATCGATCAGCTGCCTCTTGCACACCCCCTACCGTGGATGCACCCACAACCAAGGTACATGCCCTTGACCGGAATCGAACCTGGGACCCTTCAGTCCGCAGGCCGACGCTCTATCCACTGAGCCAAACCGGTCCCGGCAACAACTATTTTTCCTTTCTGATTTTACAGTCAGTGCTTGAGATAATGAGACTGGCACTGACTTTAAAGATCATGAGTAAGAATGTGCAGAAATGAAAACCACACAAATGTTTTTAAGATATTTTCTCCCTATGGGCTAAACAACAAGGGAATTCTCAGACATTCTTCATGAACTCTTCCACATTCTATACTATATAGCTAAAGCTTCCATCTGCACATCCTTCTGGTATAACCTACACCTACAACCAGTAGCATAACTTGTAGGGCCCTGAGCAAAATGAAAATGCTGAATTTTGTTCAAAAATTATTGAATGATCTGTGAGGGTAGACCATTAAACCTAGGGCAGGGACTTGCTCACGAAGCCACCCCTGCACACACCGTAAAAGCAAGTCAAAGCCTGAGTGACCCACAGATTCACTCAATGGAGCTCTAGGTTTCTGTGTCAGAGAGTGCTGTGTGTTCTAAATGCACTCTTTCTTATTTTAGAGACACGTTACATTTCCCACTCTTTATCTGCCAATCAGCCAGATTCAAAATAATTCAGGAGAGAATTCTGTCATTTCAGAGAATAGTGAAGCCACAAAATAGAAGAGGGCTAGATTGCTGAATCATCATATGGAAGACTGCCTGCCAAATACTACATTGAACTGTCAAAGGAAGGAGAAATAAAACCAGTGAAATCTTGGCGTTTATTGTAATGTTTGACATACCTTGACCATACCTTGACATAACTTGGCCTCTTTTTCTTTAAATTTATCCTGAGCTACCCTGTTAAATGAATTTGTGCTACCAATAGTTTAATGTTCTATGTCTCAGGAGTAACCTATGTTAAAATAACAAATGACACCAAAATCTCAATATAACAAAAATTTATTTCTTATGATATGCCATCCAGAAGACTATACTCATAGCTAATCAGGGAACTAGGCTGATGAAATTTCACCATGACTTATGCTTCCCTGATCATCATAGCGGTGGGAAAAAAGCATGATTATACATTGTAAGGTTTTTGAGCATACTGGTATGTAATACATCATTTCTACTTACATCTCAAAGACCTTAAGTCAAATGCCCATGCCTGTCTTTAAAAAGAGTAAAGAAGCCCAGCCAATAGGGCTCAGTGGTTGAGCATCGACCTAAGAACCAAGAGGTCATAGTTCAATTCCTGGTCAGGGCACATGTAGGAGCATGCAGGAGGCAGCCCATGGATGATGTTTCTCATCGATATTTCTATCTCTCCCTCTCCCTCGCTTTCTAAAAATAAATGATAACTTAAAAAAAAGAGCAAAGAAGTATAATCCCATGTGCCAAAAGTGAGAATCCAGACATATAATATTTTGGAAAATGACAGCCCTGAATACCACATGGTTATAGATATTGATTTTTGGAAGGACAGTGTTTCATACAGAAATTTAAAATATGTTGTACAGAATAAGTAGGCAGCAAAACAAAACAAAAAACCTTTAGTATAGGCTGGTTAGCTGGAGAGCTCTAGTGCAACTTGGTAAAATATTTACCAAGTATACATATAAACTACCCTCTGAAGTAAAAGGTAGACCATGAGCCTAATGAAACTCTTAACTATATGGAAAATAGATAGAGGGAGGGGAATAGTGTAAAGTGAAAATAATTTTGCAGAAATCAGATTAAAAGTTTTAACTTTGCTATCCAAGCCTATTGCTTCAGATAGCGTCAAGAGGGGAATTTGTGGGAGGAAGCAAATAAATAAATAATTATTGATAATTACATATAGGAAAGATCTAGAATGTGGAATTTAGAATATGAAATTAAAAGCAAATATATCACAAAGTCTACTAAGTTTTTAAGGGAATTGTATTGTTCATGAAACCATGTGCCTGGACTGAAAAAGACTGGAGCAATCATCAAGCTCCCAGAGTGTCCCCAGCAGGAAGCCTAGATAGCTTATCTTTATGGTTTACAGGTTGTACCCTGAGGACCCACATTTGAACCTGATGGAAAGGCCTGTGCATCACATGAAGCTGTGATTCACTGACTTCACAACCCTATTCCTGACAAGTACACTAGACCCGTGATAGGAAGAACTTTAATTGGTTTCAGTGAAAATGTTTCCTGAAGGTGTAAATAAGTTTTCAAATTTCCTATTTGTTAGTTATCTTTAAGAATTAAAGGGGCCAAGTCAGTACTTGAAAAGTGGGAATTATAACTTGGCCTCTTTTCCTTTAAATTTATCCTGAGCTACTCTGTTAAATGAATTTGTACTACCAATTTTTTAATGTTCTATTCTCATAGCAACAGGCTGTGATGTCAGAGGGTTATTTATCACAAAATTCATTTTAAAAAATGCTAGGCTATGAAGCAGAAAGCTCCGATTTAATTGCATGTTATTCAACAATCATTCTACCTAATAAAGAGGAAATATGCAAATTGACCCTCACGCTATCGCAAAAGATGAAGGCACCGACAGCCAATAAAGAAGGAATATGCTAATTGACTGCCCTGCCCTCAAAGATAGCGATGCCCAGCCCCTCCAAGCGATGCCTCCAGAGACCCCCAGCCGCCCAGTGTCAGCCCGACGTGCAGGCAAGCCTCTGATGGTGCAGGTGACCAGGGCCAGCAGTGTAGCAGCAGAGGTGTGATGGGGTGTCACCTTTCCCTGATCATCTGAGGGCTCCCAGACTATGAGAGGGGAGGCAGGGCTGAGGGACCCTCTCCAATTCATGAATTTTCATGCGCTGGGCCTCTAGTGTTATGCAAATAAAAATGGAAACATCAAAAATAAAAGACTCAAAGTAACAAGTTTATGTGAACATTTTTATTAATAGTTGCCATAGTATGAAAAAAGCTTGCCCTTCAGCACTTTTTATCAGTGCTTATTTATTTTTTTTAAAAATACTATGAAAAAGCATTCAGTTACAAGTCTGAGCATTATTTCCTTCAAATTAAAGGTAAGCTAGATCACGCACACAGTAAAGAAAGCATCAAAGCATCTAAAAGAATTACTATTCAGGGAAAGATTACCTATGAATTTTTTATACTAAAAATCTAGCATACTTCATTATGCTGAAAGGCATAATTAAAAGCATTATATCAGACAAATAATTATCACATAATTTGGTATAGGTGCAACAGACTTCATTAAGACAGCATTTTGCAAAGCACCTTTACAAAGTCACATGCCCACGAGGTCTGGTAGGTTATGTAAATTAGTGAAATGACCTGGGTGTGAGACAGTGGGGTGAGTGAGTACATGTCCTATCTATAGCAGTTTAGATGGGCTAGGTTAGGTCAGAACAACAAAGAAGACAATAGCTTAGTTGTTGAAGACAAAATTTGTTTACTTGCTCAAGCTACATGTGGTCAAGGATCAACTAGGAATTCTGCCCTGTCATTAGAGCAGCCACTATGTAGAACATTACAGGTTACCACGGCAGAGGAAAAGAGATTCCACTCTCTCACACTGCACAACTCCAGTAGCAGCTTTATAGGGCATTATACAAACTGGTATTTGCATTAAAAGTGGCCTGTTCAAAATAATGAATTAAATAACAAGCAAGCACCACCTTATATTAATAAGCTCTTATGCTCATCTACACTAATAAAAGAAAGATGCTAATTGACTGTACCTCCACTATGCCCATAGCCAATCAGGAGTGATATACAAATTAAGCCAACAAAGATGGTGTGTAAATTTGCATATGCAGTCAGCACAGGTAGCGCCTGATGCCACCAGCTGGCAGTGGGGGCAATCGCAGCTTGGATCCAGGCCGGCAGCATCTGAGTCCAAGCCTCAGGGACCCAGGCAGCCCCTGCCAAGGCCCACCTGTAGGGTCCAGCAGGTCATGAAAGCTTGCGGCTTAGAGGGCATTGCTCCCTCTGGAGCCCCAGCTTCCTCATCCCAGCTATGGAAACTGACAACAGGTAGGAGGAAGTCCCACCCCCACTGAATCAGCTGTTGGTCACACAGCTCTCAAAAGGCCTGACAGCCAGGACTCTCATTCACCTGTATCTCAGACTGTAGCAGTAGAGAGGTGGGACTATGTCCAAGGAAAAACTGTTGATACAACATAGCTCAGCAGCAGAAACATGCTGATGTTATTGACAGAATACATCTGAAGAGCAACGTACAAGTGATCTTGAAAGAAGGCGACACCTGTGACAGAATGTATCTGAAGAGCAGCTATTGGGAAAACATCACTCTGAAGCCGAAAAGCATTGGCATCATTGACAGAAAATGTCTAAAGAGCAACAACATGCCTTTGAAATTGAGAGAAGGTGGTGGCAAAGACAGAATAAGTCTAGAGAACAGTCATCAATCAACATGTACTAGCAATACTGGTAGGAACTGCCTTTTCAGCGAAAATGAAGTACATGAGGATGCAATTCTCAAACACAGTTGTGGTTGGAATTCTGTTAGATGTGAATTTTGCCTATCACTAAATTTCTCTGATGAAAAACCATCCGATGGGAAATTTACTGGATGCTGTATCAAAGGGGAAGTATGTCCAAATTACATACATTTTCCCGATTACCCAGCATATCTAAAAAGATTAATGACAAACTAAGTTTCTGACAGTAAAAATTTCATGAAAAATACTTGATCCATAAATAGTTCTTTTGCTTCCATGGGTGCAACTATTGCATCGCCATCAGGGTATGGGCCATACTGTTTTAGAATACATGGACAAGTTTATCATCATACTGGAACTTTACATCATTCCGATGATGTTTCTCGAAAGTTTACTCAACTCTGTATTTTGGATACAGCTGAAGCAACAAGTAAAAGATTAGCAATACCAGAAAACTAGAGATGCTCAGAAAGACTCATGATCAATATCAACAACCTCATGCATGAAATAAACAAATTAACAAAATCATTTAACGTGTTACACTAGGTAGAAAAGGAAGCCCAATTTGAAACAGCAGCAAAAGGTATAATCCCACGGAAGTAAAAATGGTGATTAAATACAATCGTAACAGTAATTCTCCCTGTGTAACCAAGGTTGCTGTCATATTCAGAAATGGAGATGGAGAACCTCCTTTTGAAAGAGACTTACGCATGCATTGTAAGTCAGATCCCAATAATCTGAATGCCACTAAAATGAAATGAAACAGTATCTCGTTTCCTATATTAGATGTAATGCATATCCTATTCTTTTTCCACATGGTGAAAAAGACTGGGGCATGGATACTGCATTAAAACTCAGAGACGACAGTGTAATTGACAATAACACTAGACAAAATGCAAGGACACAGTCACACAAATTGAGTATTATGGATTTTATCTTTCCACCTGGGACACTTTCAATCCTATTCTAAATGCAGGAAATAATTCAATCACTTTATCAGTCATTATTTGCATCAATGTTGTTTTCATATCATGAGTTTGTTGCTATATCATTTTGTTATTTATAAATAAAATTATGTATTATTTTCATATACATTGTACTCATTTCCTTTTCTCTCTCACACTTTCATTATAGAGAAAGGGCAAATAGCAATATTAAAATATTTTCTCTAATTCCCTTTCAATGTGCACAAATTTTGCAAGCGCCGGCTACCAGCCTCGATTGCCCCTTAGTGCTTCTCCACCTCCGTCTGCTCCTTAGGGGCGACTGTGGCTGGCAGCCACCTCTCGCACCCACTGACGGTGCTAGAGCCACTGCTTGCACCCACTGCTGGTGCCTGGCGCGCCGGTTGCAATCACTAGGTGCCATCCGCAGGTGCAAGAGCAGCGGCTGCCAGCCCATATCATCCCTCAGGGCTACTCCACCTCCCCCTGCTCCTGCGAGGCAATCAGGGCAGCAGCTGCGGCTTGTATCCGCTGCTGGCGCTGGCCAAAATCGCTCCGTGCCATCAGCACACGGGAGCAGCAGTGAAAGGAGCAGGGCTGCTGGGCAGGGCCAGGCAGGGTGTGGAGAATGGGCAGAAACCCGCCCCTGTGCCCACCACAGCCTTGTGGCTCACAGTTCTTTCAAAGTGCACTAATTTATGCACTGGGCCCCTAGCGTATACTAATAATAGCTCAGGTGGCGGTCACGCCATGATGCCCTCACGCCGTCACAATCCCATCAGCAGGAGGCTGCATGCACAACAGGCCCATGCCAGAGAGCAGGGCTGCGTGTGTGAGGAGACAGAATAGGCCCTTGACATGGGGAGGGTGGGACCATGCTCTTGGCATGGAGGGAACATGACAGGCTCTATGGGAGGAACGCAGAGCGGAGCTGCGAATGGAGCTGGTCATGTTCTAGCGTGGCAACTCCTCTTCAGGTGTGGCAGGCTGCAGCGGCCTGGCTGAGGGAAGGGGAGAGTGTGGTGCTCTGAGCACAGTCACCACGGACCGCCCAAATGAGAGGCCTCCTGCCAAGGCCCACCGCCTGAGCAGCTTGGAGCCCTGTCAAGATGACTTGCCGCTGCCACCTCCGCCACCACCAGCGCTCATGTGACTGCCCCTGCCTCCACCAGAGCAGCGCCCGAGGCTCCAAAAGGAAATGGAGGCAGCACAGGTCCTGGCTGACATGAGTGGGGTGGGACTGGGCCCCACTCTGCCCCCGCCATCCCCCTGTCATTCTCCAGGAGGGAGGAGTGCATACATACTTCACCTGGGTGCGGGTGTTTCTACTGGGAACCTGATTTCAAGTCTGGGTATGGGGAGGGGCCCCCTTCCATGGAGAGCCTAGAAACATTCTCTCCTGAGGAGGAGGATGGGGGAAGCCTGGAGATCGACATTCAAGTTACCAAGCCGGAGCCAAGCCAGACCCTGAACCAGAGCTAGAGCCAGAGCTGAGCAGCTTTGGTGGAGAGGCCTGAGATACCTGTAGTATAGGGGGACGGCAGTACCAGGTATTAGCCAGTCTACAGGGGAGGGAAGAGGCCATTATCATAGTGGAAAATGATGATGAGGAGGAGGTGAAAGAGAATGTGAGCAAGAAGAGGAGGAGGAGGAGGAAGAGGAGGAGGAGGAGGAGGAGGAGGAGGAGGAAGTGAGGAAGAGGCCTGGAGGACCGCAGCTCCGGCCTTCCTCTTTGGGGCAATCCATCGAAAAGCACCAGTGTCCCGAGTCTCACGTGATTTCACTGGTCGGGTCATTAGCATATAATAAAAGCCCAATGACCGTTACCGTATAATGACCAGAACAAGCAAGGACCAACCAACCAGCTGGTAGCTATGACGAGCACTGACCCAGACCTTGCTGTCAGCACTGTGACAGCCCCGAATCCCATTCACCTGCACCCCGAACTCTGATAGAAGGGAGGAGGGAGCTGGATACCTGCACCCCAGACCCTGACAGCAGGGAGGCAGGAACTCCATTCCTGGCAGAATCGACCATTGATCAGTTTGCTGTCCATGCCCTGACAATCCAGATTCCCTGCAGAGGGCCAAATGGGAAGACACCTGGACATTCTACAGATTGTTGTTGACTGGGCCCAGGATATTGGCAGAATCATGTCAGTTGCACTCCCCACCTGGGAGTGCGGAGATGTTCTTAGTTCCTGACTAATGTGTTTGTTCAGGAGGAAGGAGTGGGTGGAACCGGGTCCCTCCCAGGCTCCTTGTTTTCCTGTGAAACCCCTTGTTGGATTGGAGTATAAATAGATGTGCTGCCTGGCCCAGTAGGTTGTCAGTCTGTCTCTCCAGCAGAGGAGGTCAGCGGCCCTCCCAGCTCCCAGCTTGAAACCTATTTCTATGTCTTCTCTCTTTATTTCTAATATTTCTCAATCAATCCCTGGGCACCTCCACTTAGAACCGGTTTGTTCATCTCTCTTTCCATGCGGGACATGGAAAAGGGAGATCCCCGCAGCTTCAGGCCGCCGCAATTCCCTTTCACCCACACCCTGGACCCTGACGGCAGGCAGGTGGGACTCAGATACCCGCACCCCCAAACCCTGACAGCAGGGAGGTGGGAACCCCATTCCTCACAGCACATGTGTCAAACACAAGGCCCGCGGGCCAAATCCGTCCCACCAGGCCTTGAAATGTGGCCCGCACCGCGCTGTCATCACTGCACTCCGCTGCGTTTCCATCACAATGACAGTTTATGACTGTTCAGTAAACCACTCGGCCCGCGATTTAGGCTGGATTTTAGATTTTGGTCCCTTCTCTGATTGAGTTCGACACCCCTACCTCACAGAATCTGCCATTGGTCAGCTTGCTATCCATGCCCTGACAGCCCAGAATCCCATTCACCCACACCCAGGCCCTGACAGCAGGTATTAACAGGATCTATAGAAGGAGAGGTTGTTCTGATTCCAAGTAGCTATTTGTCCCTGTCTGACACTGGTTCCCATTTAAATTAGTTTCCCATGATGCCAGCATTTGCGATGACGTGCACCGATCACCAGGGGGCAGATGCTCAATGCAGGAGCTGCCCCTGGTGGTCAATGTGCTCCCACAGTGGGAGTGCTGCTCGACTGACCAGGATGAGCAGCGTTCCATAAGTAGGAGCAGCAGCTCCAAGGGCAGGTCCACAGCCACTCGGCTGACTGAAATGAGCTGCGCTCCCACTATGCACGAATCCGTGCACCAGGCCTCTAGTTACATGTAAAGCTCACGCTGGCGCTTGATCCAAATGATCCAATTGATCCAGTACATAACTTCCAGTTCTCTGCTGCTGCTGGCATTGGCTGCCCCAACTGTCCCACATGTTCAGGAAGGACCTTCCATGCTCTTCAGCTGCTCTTTCTTTGCATAGAGAGGTTTCCTGTGCCATCTGGTTTTCTTGCCGCATCGGACTAGGTTTATAGCAAAAGAGTGATTGAGTGGCATGCTGCATCTGCATGCTTCATTCATTGTGAAACTGTGGTGTTTATGCTGTTTATTTTTGTTTGGTTAATTAGATTGTATCTTATCCCATAAATGGCTGACGTAGCTTTAAAAGACAATACTACAAAAACAATAATTGCATGTGTGTATTTTCATCTGTCATTGTCAATCAAATGTGAATTTGGTTGACACTTCTATTATAGAGAAAGGGCAAATAGCGATATTAAAGTATTTCTTCTAATTAATTTCCTTTCAATGTGCACAGACCCTGAAATACTATTAGAAAATAATTGAATTTACTACAGCATTTTTTTCAAAACTATAGAAGGGTATTTATAATTCCTCCTTTTAAAAAATAACTAAAATTAAAGATAACTTTTTTAAAAAATATATATTTTATTGATTTTTTACAGAGAGGAAGAGAGAGGGATAGAGAGTTAGAAACATCGATGAGAGAGAATCATCCATCGGCTGCCTCTTGCACACCCCCCACTGGGGATGTGCCAGCAACCAAGGTACATGACCTTGACCAGAATCAAACCTAGGACTGCCGAGACCGGTTTGGCTCAATGGATAGAGCGTCGGCTTGGGGACTGAAAGGTCCCGGGTTCGATTCCGGTCAAGGGCATGTACCTTGGTTGCGGGCACATCCCCAGTAGGGGGTGTGCAAGAGGCAGCTGGTTGATGACTCTCTCTTTCATCGATGTTTCTAGCTCTCTATCTCTCTCCCTTCCTCTCTGTACAAAATCAATAAAATATATTTTAAAAAAAACAAAAAAAACCCTAGGACCTTTCAGTCTGCAGGCTGACGCTCTATCCATTGAGTCAAACCAGTTTCAGCCAAAGATAACTTTGAAAGGACTGGAGACTTTTGCTTTCAATCAAGATGAAGTAACAAGAAATGAACTTACTCTCCTGCCTAAAGCAACTCTCTCCTCCCAACAAACAAAAAAGAGAAAAATATGCAAGACACTGGTTTATGAAACTGCAAATCAATCAAACTAGGGGAGTGATTGTTGAAAAAGTGAGTAGGCCACAACATAATGAGGGGGAAACCAGGCTGAGCCCAGCAAAGACCTTGAGTTGAAGAATCAGAGCTGAGCCCTGGCTGCTATGCCTAAGTGGTTAGAGTATCGGCCTGCATACCGAAAGGTTGCAGGTTTGATCCCCGGGCACAGGCATTTGAGAGGTCACCAATAGATGGATGTGTCTCTCTCACATCGATGTCTCTCTCTCTTTCCCCCTCCCTCCTTCCCTCCTTCCTTCTCTCTCTTCCTTCCACTCTCTCTAAAGAAAATATCAATGGAAAAAATATCCTCAGGTGAGGATAACAAAAAAAAAAAAAAAAAGAGAGAGAGACAGAGCTGAGAGTCTAGAAAGAACAAAACAAATAGAGATTCTTATGTTATATTGTGAAGTGCTAAATATTACTTGAAAGTAATATGGGTATTCATTCAAATTCATGTGAAATAGCCAAATACTGAAGCAAACTCAGTCTATCAACACATAAATGGATAAGCAAATAGGTATATATTTATACAATAAGATCTACTAATAATAGAAAGAAATGATATGTCCATACTACAACAAGAAGAAAAATCTTAAGCCCATCCAGCATGGCTCAGTGGCTGAGCCCGGTTGGGGCACATGCCTGGCTTGAGGGCTTGATCCTCAGCGTGGGGTGTGCAGGAAGCAGGGACCGATGATTCTCTCTCATTATGATGTTTCCATCTCTCTCTCCCTCTCCCTTCCTCTGAAATAAATGAAAAAAATATATATAAAGAATCTTAAAAAAAATCATTCTGAGAGAAAGGAACCAGACAAATAGCACATATAGTATTACAGTTATATAAAACTCTATTAAGACACAAATTAATCTGTAAAGTCAAAAAACAGATCGATGGTTGCCTGGTGGAGATGTGGAACAAGATAGATTACAAAGGGCACTAAAAAGCTTTTGAGAGTGATAGACTGCAGTGATTGTTTTTACATATGTAAAACTTTAAAAATTATACACTTTAAAATATGTGCAATTTATTGTATATAAACTGTTCCTCAATAAATCTATTTTAAAAACAATTCTGGACTTACATTAGGTTAAAAACCAAAAAAATTTAGACTACCTATAGTGCTCTGGCTCCACAGAATAAAAATAAAAAAGATGAAAGCTAGAATAAAATACCTATAGTTTTTAAGTGTTAGAATAGAGAAACTACTCAAATACTTTCTTATTAGAAATAAAAGAAGTCCCAGAAAAGTATACTGACTTGCCCAAAGTGTAACAGCTAGAGTTAAGGACTTACTAAACTGTTTAAGATCCATAATGGTAGGGATTATGTTACTTAGGTCACCACTGTATCCCTTCATACCTAGCACAATGCCTGGGACATAGTGAAAGCTCAATAAATATTTATTAAAAAGGAGAGTAAAAAGGAAGATAAAAGGAAAGAAAATCTCTCCTGCGATATGACTGAACATTTCTCCCTAACTTCAATTCTCCAATTTCTAACACAGATGAGAAAATTAAGCACTGCCATTAATATCATAAATATATAAGAGAATAAATTATATTCCATATTTTTAGCTTACTGGATATTTTATTATAATGCATAAAAATTTCAAATTCATGTTACCAACTTTTAAACAGGCAGAATAATAGAAAATACTCCATTCTGAAGATTAGTGATATTTCAAATTTAAGAAAATTAAGGAAAACTACTTACCAAAAAAATAGCTCAAGTTTTGGCATATTCTGTCACAAGGTACATGTCTTTGGTCCCCATTACCTACTGAAAAATAATTCCATATTAGTCTGACAGAAAAGAATTGCAATTTGCCACAATATTCTAGAGTAAAAATTACTAATAAAAATGTCAAAGCTATGAACAATTCAGAAGCTGGCAAAGTTTACTAAAGACAGTATCTTTATGCTAACACTTTGGTGAAAGATCTAGATTCCTTGCTCTTTCAAGTGTGGCCCATGGACCAGCATCGGCAGCACTGCCCAGATGTCTGTTAGAAATGTAGGATCTCAGGCTCCACCCAGACCTACTGACACAGATCTATTTTTTAATAAACTCCCCAGGTAGTTATTATGCAAAGTCAAGTTTGAAAAATGCTAATGTAGGTAACAGGAGTTATGAAGATCAAGTGTTTCACCTCCTCACTGACTTCTCCAGCCCTGTGTTATATGGTAAACTCCGGTCAAGGGAAAGAGAATAAAACACAGCTCAGCTATACCCGTAGCCTAGCAAGTTGGCACAATGTGAAATTCCTCCTATGATACTTTAATAGTATAACATAGTATTATTATTTTAAAACACTGCTCAAAAGCTCTTCATAACTCCACTGCTATATACATTTTTATTTAAATCAGTTTTTCTAGGTTCAGAAAAGCCTGTCATTGACATAAACTTGAGTTTTCAAACTATACTGAACCAAAAGGAAATGATTTTACAGATTCAAAAGGAGTGAGTTCTAGATTGCTTCTCTGTAACTATCTGTAGAGAGTGCCTGAGAGAGCAACTGAGCAAAGGTCGTCAGCTGAGTCCAGTGGCGTCAGCAAAGTCAGGTCCTGGAAACATACCTTGCCAAAGGCAAGAATGTTGTCAGTCCTGACCTATAGCTCAGTCAGGCCTGACAATTAACAGGATGGCACAAGGATGAAGAACTGCAGCTTGACCTTTAAGCATGGTTTCA